ATAAGGCCTCATACTCAGCAAACGAAAAGACTCCGAACCGGTGACTAGGAGGGCATTCATACGACCAACCCTATACATTTTTTTTCTCTTTTTTTATACCAAGTCTAAGAAAATATACACCTATAAAAGACGTGAGTGCCGCATGAACTTATGCCCCAAAGCTGGCAAATGCAAATAAGGATTAAAATTTTAAAACTAATTAATAAAATTAATGTAAAGTATTTACAAATTTAACAAAAAAATACTCGTTTTCGCAACATCTATAAAGGACCCTTTTATTTAAAAAAAAAAACCTGTGCGACAGTTATTATCTTACGCCCTGTACTTTGCCATTCATATTGTGGCAAACACTACTTAGTAAGCAAAGTTAAGTGTGATAGTGAAAAGGCGTAGGCATGGTCGTAGCAAGGTAGAGCGCTCGGGTATAAAAATCAGAAAAATATTAAATTAATTATAAGGCTTAAATTAAAAAACTGGCCTTATATTCAGAAAGAGTTTGGAATTCTTTTGTAGAATTTAGTTGAGGAAAATTTCTTATAAGGGCGGTCATTGAAGAGGTGGTGAGCGAAGGGGAGTGGGCGTGGCACCCCGACCACCTAGGCCCCCTATGGGTCCCTAGGGACGCCCTAGAAAAATCGCCAAATATCACATTTGGGTGCCACGCCCACTCCCCCTTTGATTACCATCTCTTTAACGATCACCCTTATTGGAAAGCCAGCTCATTTAGTTATTTATTTTTAACATTTATTGTTGCTTTGAAAAAGATTTCTAAAATATCTTTGTATATTTGTACCTAATTAATGGTAATTTGTAACAATAAATTGCACAAAAAATAAAAAATAAATATACTCCGTTTTTAGGTCTTGTACTGCTTTTTTTCTATCGAAAATATAAATGTACTCCTTTCTCCATTTCAAAATCTGGAAACCCTAACTATGTTCCTTCCTTATCGCTAGCCTTTACTTTATCAATTATTCCTTCAAAAGTACTTATCACCATTTAAAAGCACAACTGTACAACTTTCATAGCCACCACATTACATATGCAACAACTTCCGTAAAAACACACACACATATGTATATATTGTACGTGCACTCGCACCTTAAAAAGATAAACTTGGAGTTGCAGCAGATTGTGGGTGCCATTTTGCGGTCCCTTGAGAGGGTTGCGTTAACTGTTTGCGGTTACTATTTCGACGAGCACTGCACTTTAATTTGCTGAACAAAAATTTAAAAGTACTTAATAGTACATATTTTTTGTATGTAGTTGATTTTGTTGGCAAACGCTCTTTAGCTCCGTGATTGGTTGCATGTGTCACATTGGTAAACTGAAAGTGAGGTTAAGCATCGCGCCTGGCGCTGCACCCTGCCGAGTCAATCAACGTCACTGCAATTTTCTTTACTGTTGCTTCGAAATGCACACATATGTATGTACGCATGCACATACCATTGTGGTCAGCTGATTAAGTTAAGTGACATTTTGACCAGTTTTGGATATTTTTTTTTTGTTTATTTAAAGTTATTATTTTTTTTTATAAAACTTTAGCACATTACATAACCTTCTTCTTCTTTTTTGGCGCTGTAACCGCCTAAGCGATTTTGGCCGAGTTCAGCAAAGCACGCCAGTCGTTTCTCCTCTGTGCCAACTGACGCCAATTGGAAACGCCAAGTGAAGCCAAGTCCTTCTCCACCTGATCTTTCCATCCAGTGGGGGCCTCCCTCTTCCTCTGCTACCACCAGCGGGTTCCGAGTTGAATACTTTCAGAGCTGGAGCGTCGGTGTCCATTCGAACGACATGGCCAAGCCAGCGGAGCCGCTGTATTTTAATTCGCTGCACAATGTACATGTCGTTGTAAAACTCATACAGCTCATCGTTCCATCGTCTGCGGTACTCGCCGTCGCTAACGCGTAAAGGCCCGTAAATCTTGCGCAAAATCTTTCTCGCAAACACTCCAAGAGCCACCTCATCGGATGTTGTCATTGTCCATGCTTCTGCGGCATATACCAGCGTGGGCATGATGAGTGACTTATAGAGCGTGGTTTTCGTACGTAGAGATAGGTCTTTACTCCTGAATTGCCTACTCAGTCCAAAGCAGCACTTGTTGGCAAGAGTGATTCTGCGTTGGATTTCGATGCTGACATTATTATCGGTGTTAATGCTGGTTCCCAAATAAACGAAATTCTCTACTTTCTCGAAATTGTAACTGTCAACAGTGACATGGGTGCCAAGGCGCGAATGTGCTGACTGTTTGTTTGATGACAGGAGATACGTTTACCACCAGACCCATTCACTTTGCTTCCCTATTCAACTTGGAAAAGGCAGAACAGACCTCGCGGTTTTTGTTACCGATGATGTCGATGTCATCGGCATAAGCCAGAAAATGCACGCTCTTGTTGTAAATAGTTCCTGAGCGGTTCAGTTCTGCAGCTCTTATTATCTTCTCCAACATCAGATTAAAAAAGTCACATGAAAGGGATTCGCCCTTTCTGAAACACCGTTTGGTGGCGAACGGCTCGGAGAGGTCTTACCCAATTCTGATGGAGCTGGTGGTATTGCTCAACGTCATTTTACACAGCCGTATGAGTTTTGAGGGGATGCCAAATTCAGACATAGCGGCGTATAGGCAATTCCTTTTAGTGCTGTCAAAAGTCGACAAATAGGTGGTGAGTGTCGATCCTTTTCTCGCGAGTCTTTTCCAAGATTTGGCGTATTGTGAATACCTGGTCTATGGTGGATTTTCCAGGTCTAAAGCCACACTGATAAGGCCCAATCAGTTCATTGACGGTGGGCTTCAGTCTTTCACACAATACGCTCGATAAGACCTTGTAACATATGCTTAGAAGGCTGATCCCGCGGTAGTTGGCGCGAAAGGCGGGGTCACCTTTCTTGTGGATAGGGCAGAGCACACTTAAATTCCAGTCGTCGGGCATGCGTTCATCTGACCATATTTAGGTCGTCATTACTGTTATTAAAGGAGTGCGCCCCGGTCTTGAAACCTTCCGTAAGTCGCCTAACTCTCTGGTAAAATTTTCGGGCATTCTTCCTGTCGGCCAGCATTTCAAGATCTTCGCACTCACGTATTTCAGCCTCTCTCTTCTTATTGCGCCAAATACGTATCGCACATAGCGCGCGTTGCGCCCATTCGCAGCGTGGCCCTGTAGCCGGTATCTTTTTTCTCTACAGCTTCTTGACACTCCTCATCGTACCAGTTGTTCTTTCGGGCTCACTGAAATCCGACTACTTCTTCGGCGGCGGTACTTAATGAGCGGGAAGTGTGGTTCCACTGCTCGCATATGTCGGTTTGTTGAAGAGTGCTCTCTGAGAGCAGGTGTGAGAGTCGAGTAGCGAAAGCGCTGGCTGTCTGTTGTGATTGCAGCTTTTCGGCGTTAAGCTTTCCTTGCAAATTTGGGCGCACATTTTTTGCTGCACAGAGGCGGGTGCGTATCTTGGCTGCAACAAGATAGTGGTCCGAGTCGATGTTTTGGCCTCGGAGTGTGCGTACGTCTAAAACACTGGAAGCGTGCCTTCCGTCTATCACAACATGATCGATTTGGTTTCTTGTTTTTCGATCCGGAGACAGCCACGTAGCTTGATGTATCTTTTTATGATTGAACCTAGTACTGCATACTACCATGTTTCGGGCCCCGGCGAACTCGATCAGCCTCAATCCGTTGTCGGACCTTTCGTCGTGGAGGCTGAATTTTCCGCCGGTGGTTCCTAAGATCCCTTCCTTGCCCACCCTGTCATTGAAGTCGCCAAGCACGATTTTGATATCATGACGGGGGCAGCGCTCGTACGTGCGCTCCAAGCGCTTATAGAAGAGATCCTTGGATGTCTCATCCTTCTCTTCCGTCGGGGCATGGGCGCGGATGAGCGACATGTTGAAGAATCTCGCTTTGATGCGGATTGCGGCTAGACGCTCGTCCACCGGGGTGAACGACAGTACTCGGCGACGCAGTCTCTATCCCACCACAAATCCAACTCCGAATTTGCGAATTTACATGGCAGCTGTAGTAGACGTCGCAAGGCCCCAGACATTGCTTGCCCGTCCAACGTATTTCTTGGATGGCGGTGATGTCAGCTTTTGTCCTTACGAGGACATCAACCATCCGGCCAAAGGCACCTTCCCCATTAAGGGTCTGGACATTCCAGGTACATGCCCTCAAATCGTAGTCCTTTAAACGTTTGCCGTGGTCGTCATCATAAGGAGGGGGTCTCATCCGAGGCTTTGCCTTGCTTCTTCACTGGAAGTGGCTTTTACGTGGCGGGTCCCAAACCCAGCGCACAACCCAATATTCAGAATTTTTAGAAAAATTGTAGGTACGCAGTTTTATAGCCCATTTTAGTAGGTTTAAGTGCGAATTTCAAGGCGCTAGAAAATCTCGTTGATTTTTTTTTTGCTGACGGTGCTAGGCATTTTATTCCAAATAAAAGAAATTGTCGCCGCAATTTCCTAGCGTTTTGCAATTTAACCTACCTTAATTTAATGGGCTTAAACCACCATACCTAAAAATTTTCTAAAAATTCTGAATAAAAGGTTTAACATTTTTGGATGTACTTGTTAAAGTTTGTTGAATTTTTATAGTTTTTGTACGTAGTTTGAAATGTTGATTAAAGGGGCGCTGGTTATGTAATGTGCTGGATTTTATAAAATATTATACATATTAAATAGACAAAAGAAAAATAGCTAAAACTGGCCAAAGGTCACTTAACTTAATCAACTGACCACAAGTGTATGTTATACACTTTTACAATAAACGCAAGAGCGCATAACGAAAATTCAATTTTATTCGCAGTTAACAGGCTTCCACACAGATGAGAAAGATACTAAAACGTAAAGAAATAAATTCATTAGTAAGATCGAAATTTGCAAAGGTCCCAAAAAATTTGTTTATAAATTTATTCACACATATACATATATGGCATACATATGGACATCTTTGTGCTCACCAAATATGCAAAAGTTAGATACGTAATTGCAAATTATTTATGTACTCTTGCAAATATCGTCATCCTCAGCGTTGGCTGCATTGGAAGCGAGAGACCGTAAGCTTCCTCACCGTTCTTATCCCCTGGGAGTTGCGTATCAAGGAGATCGAGTCGCATTTTGGCTCCGGCGTAGCATCCCATTTCACTTTTCTTCGCTGGCTTATGTGGGTAAACATCATGATTGCCATACCATTGGTGGCGTTCGTCATCGGGCCTGAGGTGAGTTACGCTGAATAATTTTAATCATTTCGTCAATGTCAAATTTTCGCATCATCATGCCATCTCGTCTGCAAACTTTCATTCCATATCTATGTACGTATATATGTATGTATGTTTGTACTTACTTTTCATCATTCCCTCGTCAACGTCGTCATCTGCGTAAACCGCGCTCGTTTATCAATGTGTTGGACTTCGACAGTACTTTGCTACGAAAAAAGATGAGACCGATCCCCGTAAGCGTATGACCGAGCATGAGTATAAAGTGGCTGGAAATTTCTTTACATACTGGGAATTCGAAGGTTACATTAAATATTCGCCAATGTTTTACGGGTAAGTAAAAAAATAAATATAATAATCAAACAAATGTTATTAGTAATTTTGTATACATTTTTATGCAATTAAAGGCAATGACTGAACAACTTTGTTTTATAAAATTTATCATAATAATTTCATTTTTGCTTTCAGTTATTATTCGAACATTTCCGGTGCCAGTACGTTGGGCTATAAATTACCAATGGCTTACTTTCTAACAGCTGTTGTTGTTTATATATACAGTTTTGTGGCCACCCTGAGGAAGTAAGTAAAGCAAGAGTAAACTGTTATTATTTAAATTTCAAAAATAGAAATTCAAATGAAATGAAAATCATTTTCTTTGAATTTCCTTAAAATTGATTTACAACTTTAACGTCATTCTAAAATTTTAAGCTATGTTTGTAGCTTGAAATGTTTTATAGAATGAATGGCGAATGATCAGGGTCAGGAGATTCTCACTAATGATTATTCCTTCTTATTTATTTATGAGATTTATCACGATAGAGGATATTCCATATTTATTTTTGCCTTCTTTTATGGCGCATGAATAATGTTAGCAAATTTAACATGGCTCATATTCGGAGTGCGATCAAAATAGTTTGAGTTTTCTTTTTTAAATAGATGACAACCCTCATTAATATCCTTAATATTCAAACTAAATATTTCCTAATTTCCTTCGCTTGATGTCCACATTTTAATATTTCATACAATAACTTATGTATAATTTAAATAAAATAGGCTTTTTAAACAGATGGCGCCACTGTTAAATATATTTTCAAACTAAAACCTTGTTAAACTTTTTTGTGTGGCACCCATATTCTTATACATATTTAAATTTTCTAATTCCCTTAATTCAAGTTGTATTTAATTTTAAAAACGGAGAACAACGCCCCTACATTCAGTTTAGAAATAAAGTTATTTCCAAACCATTTTGTTTCATATATGTACATCAGCGTTGCCACTAACAATTTTTTCCCCCTACCAATTTTCCTCCCAAATCCGACCAAAATCGTTTACATCCTACCAAATAAATTTCAATTACAAAAAAGCATTCTGAAAGCATACAATTCGTTTATTTAAGATTAATGGCCCAATTCTGTATCGGTGACAAAAATTTTTTTACTGACAACTTTAAATTTTTTCATACAAATATTTTTCCGTAACAAAAACTGTGTCAAGAATTTGTCACTGATACAGAATAGAGCCGTAAATGTTCCGAATACAAAACATTTACATACATACATATATGTACCTGGTACATTTTAAAACAAACAAGAAATAAATAAATGCGGGTCCAGTCTTAGGCACAGAGATGAGATCATTTAAAATTTTTTGGTTGTATGAATTATATACATACAATATGTACCAATAAGTTTAATTTCTCAAAAGTAAATTTAAATCAATTAATTACATAAGCAAATCTTTAGCAGCTGACCACACATGGTGCGGGTCATTTTTGTTTACAAGCTCCTTGCATAACATTGTGCTATTGATACTGTTATTTCTTAGTTTAGTTTTTATCAAAGAAAGCGTTGAAAATTTGAGTTCTACAGATGCAGAGCTATGTGGTAATGAAATTATATTAAAAACAAAATTGGAGAGATGCATGAAGCTATTTTTATTCATTCCATTTTTAAAAGAATAAACTTTTTCCCAAAACATATCAATCTCCAGATCGCTAGAAATATCAAGCTCAGTTAGCCTCAGTAAATTCCACTGCGTGATTATTATATCAGGATCGCAATCTATGAGATGGGGAAACTTTAACAAAAGAGGTAAAATTGGTAAATCTTCTTTAGAAACTACCTTAGCTAGTAGTATTATTTGTAGAAGTATTATATTTTCATGCTTGAAATCAAGTCTTAAATTTATTTCGTCCAAAAACTCTATGTAAAACTTATTATATTGGTTTTAACTTCAAAGATTCCAGACCAATTGACATTACTTTTCATAAACATCTCAGCTTTCGTTCCAACAAAAATGTCAGACATTTTAATATGATTATTTTCATTTTTAAAATCAATATTAATATTGTTACTGATCGCATCTTTTTTAATAAAGTTACTCAAAAGTAAGAGATAATGTGCTGTTATAGTTGCAAATAAGTATGGCAAACGTGAGCTTTCAGCTTGGAACTCTTTGTTAAGATTATTAATTATAGGCAAAATATACGATAGAAATAAAAAATATCATTTGGTTTTGCAACACATTCCTTTTGCCAGGTCTACAAATCGCATACCGTTTACTTCGTAAGAGCAGGAAATAAAATAAAGTTTCAAACTATCCCATTGCTCCACTATTCTTAATACAACGCTTTCTAATGAAAGCCATTAGTTGCGTTTTTTTACTCATTTCCAGTAAAATCCAGTAAAAGTTTTTACGAATTTTCATGTTTTGCCGTTTTCGTACGCAAAAACTTGCAAAGTAGGGGAAATTGAGAGAGCGAAAAATGACAGCTGAAGTTGCAAGTTTTTACTGGATTTTACTGGATAAATTTTTACTTGTAAGAATTTGCCAGTACGAAAAACAGCTGATCGCATGTTGCTGTATGAAATTTAAACTAATAAGGAACTGTTTGTGGATTTTTATTGTGGAAATTTTCAAAACAAACATATTTAAATATAAAATATATCGTTTTATTGGGAATATGCTGCGAATAAACAACAAATTTATCAGCTGTTCATGAAACTTGCAAATTATTACTGGAAAAGCGTTCGCGTACTTTTTTGCAAATTTTTTCTATGAGAGTGAATTTTTAGAAATAAAGTTACTGGAGAGTTACTGGCAAGTTACTGGATAATTTGTAAAAAAACACAACTATTGTGTTTGAGATGTGCCCAAGATCTTGTGAGGTTTTACCGAACAGTAGTCCTGAATTTTTTTCAGTTCATGTATTCTCTTTGGACTGTGGGAAAAGAAACTATATACATATGTTGAGGCACAGTTTCTCAATGCTTTTCGGCAATTTTTTACAAGCGTAGTTTGGGCAAAGGTGAAGTGAAAGTGGCATGTGCACTTTATATAAAATAAATAGGTTTCTGCACTCAATAATGTTTTCAGCCCGCCCAAGTTTCCAGCCATAACATTGGCTCCATTAGTGGCCAAACCAATTAGGTTTCTTATTTTTAAAGGCAGGATTGGCAAATATTTAGAAGGTACAATTGGTAAATATTTATATGCAAAATGATGTTTCAAATATATATTTTTATAATTAAGAATTTTAAAACTTAATTCAACTATCCGACCAAAATCTTAATTTTCCTACCAACCTACCAAATGAAAAAGAAGCGACCAAATTTGGTCGCAAAAGACCAATAGTGGCAACACTGATGTACATATTATAGTATCTTCTTTAACCAATTGTATACATTCACATGTGACCGCTGTGTTGTAGTGGTTAGCAGTGCGCGCTACCATTCCGAGGGCCTGGGCTCAAGCCCGATTCAAACCTACATCAAAAAATTAAAAGCAAAAAAAGTTTTTGTAATAGCAGTCGCCCCTCGGCAGGCAATGGCAAACCTCCGAGTGTATTTCTGCCATGAAAAACAGCTTCTCAAAAAAATACAATCGCCGTTCGGAGTCGACGTAAAAATCTATGCCCCCTTTGTGCGACAACATCAAGGTGCACGCCACAAATCGGAAGAAAAGCTCGGCCAAACACGAACATATGTGTTAGCGCCAATCTATTATTATTATACATTCAGTTTAACTTTATAAACAGGTGGTAACAATGTTTAAACATTTTCAAAGTAAAACCTTTTTCAACCTTTTCGTCTGACACCCGTATTGTGATGCATTATAAATTATCTAGTTCGCTTAATTTGAGTAGAATTAAATTTTTCAAACAAGTGGCAACCTTTTATACATGTAGTTTGGAAATAAAGTTTTTTCAAAACCATTTTGATTGATATCCTCTTCTTCTTCTTTATTGTCGCTGTAACCACCTACGCGATTTTGGCTGAGTACAAAACAGCACGCCAGTCATTTCTCTTCTGTGCCAACTGACGCCAATTGAAAATGCCAAGTGAAACCAAGTCCTTCTCCAACGCAGAGGACGCCTTCCTCTTCCTCTGTTACCGGCATCGCGACACGCGTTGAACATTTTCATCCATTCGAGGGACATGACCCAGCCAGCGGAGCCGCTGGATTATAATTCGCTGCACTATGTCTATATCGTTATAAAGCTCATCGTTCCATCGTCTGCGGTATTCGCCATCGCTTCATCAGATGTTTTAATTGTCCATGCCGTCGCGCCATATACCAGTAGCTCGTTTCTGTAACAATTCTCTACCAAGGCGAATCCATATATGAATTCGCCGCCGTTTTTTCTACTGCTAATGAGTAGTAGAGTATGACGTATATTCTCTACCAGTAGAGAAATAATCGGTAGAGAAGAGTTACAGAAACGAGCTACAGGACAGGCTTGATGAGTGACTTTACTTCCCAATTTCCTACTCAGTCCAAAGTAGCACTTGTTGGCAAGAATGATTCTCCGTTGGATTTAAAGGCTGAAATTATTATTGGTGTTAACGCTGGTTCCGAAATAAACCAAGTCGTCTACTTTTTCAAACTTGTAACTATCAACAGTGTCGTGGGTGCCAAGACGCGTATGCTCTAACTGTTGTTTTGTCCTCGTTCACCAACAGACCCATTCGTTTTGCTTCTCTATCTAGTCCCGAGAAGGCAGAACAGACGTAGCCATGGGCGTACGCAGGAGCAAGCCCCTCCCCTAAATTCCAAAGTTTCATTGTGAGTTTCTTTCTATTAATTTATAATCAATTTCCGATTCAAAAAATGTATGCAATAAATTAAAACTTTGGGTATCTTCACATCAATTTCGGTAGTTTTGGTAAACTGCTGGTTGTTCCTCGATAATTTTATCAACTGTGAACGTCCTTTTCAGCTTAGTTTTGTTAGTCTGATAAACAGTAATTTACTTAAAAAAGGTAAAATAATTATTATCTTTTAAGATTTTCTCTTATTTTGTACATGAATTTAGGTTTAGTTATGCTTAGCGTTCACAGAGTTGTTGTAGAAAAAACAAAAATGAAATCATCACTAAAACAATTTATCGATTTGCAGAAGACACTCGAAGACTA